CTCCCCTCAATGCAGGGGTGAAGATCTCTTCTTGTGAAGGTTCAGGGACTGGAAATACCAGAAATACCAGAAACTAAAAGTCTTCTCTTTTTAGGCAGCCACAGCACAAACCGACCAACACGATCCTACTATTAACCTCGATTAACTTGGAGGCAGTTCAGTCCCCACACTGGCTGGGGCCTCCCCAGCCACTGCCGCCCAGGCCAGATTACAGCTGGGCCACCAAAGTCTGGGCTGCGACCACCAAAGTAGTTGCCCTTGGTCCGACCGACGAGCTGGGGTGATGCCATCCCCCCTGTACCCCTCGCACAGGACTACCCCAAATGCCAACCCTCCCTGCTGGGAGATGGAGGGGCTGCATCCTCAGCCAACCTCAGAGGGTGGTGGGGATTTGGGTATTGCAAGAGCCGGTCCCTGGCCACGCTGCCCTGCGTGTTGATGCCCAGGGGTGTACCCTGACCTCCCAAACGAGCTCTTCTCAACCATGTGGCACCGCACAAGTAGATGCAAGAGCCGAGAAGCAGCAGCACCCTGAGGACCAGTGTGGTTTTTCAAGGCACTTTGGGAGCAGATGGTTTGCAGGGATGTCTAGGACGAGCTGGGAGCTACAGGAGCCTGTGTGAGAGGATGGCGAGAATCTGCAGCTGGAGGGGATGTGCCTGGGTGTGGGAAGCAGCCAACTATTTTGGATGCAGGAGGGATTTCATGGCAAAGGTGCCCTGTAAGCACCAGGCACGGCAGTCTCTCCATGTAAGCTCTGGAGAGCTCTCTCTACATTGGCAATTTACATCCCCCGCGCTGCCAGGTGATAATTTGCCCATCTCATTCACATTTTTAACCTTGTGGGCAGTTCCCAGCACCTTCACTATTGCAAGACAGGGCTCTCACTGCTGCAAATCATCTCCCACCCTTTCCCACCCTGCGGAAAGCCCTCTCACGTGTCTCGGCCTTGCTGCCATGTTTCCCACCGTCGTTTGTTGCCATTGCAGGGACGCGGGAGGCAGCATTCGTCTACGCCATCTCTTCGGCAGGGGTGGCCTTCGCCGTGACCCGAGCCTGCAGCAGTGGCGAACTGGACAAGTGTGGCTGTGACCGCACGGTGCAGGGGGGCAGCCCGCAGGGTGAGCACCCAAAGGTGGGGGCGGATGAGTGGGGATGGGCCAAGCACGGAGATGCCCACTCTAGAGCCATCCAGAAAGGAGGAAAATGTTTAACAAAAAAACCCTCCTGTTAGTCCACATGAGTCCCTCAAAAAGGCATCTGGGAGCATTGCCTATGGGACAAGGAAAGCACTGTGTCCATGTCGACCCCAGAGCTGCGCTCCCAGCTTCCCCAGTTTCCCGGGCAGCCCAGCCCAGTGAGCAGCATGACAGGAGGGGTGGCAGATGGACTCTAGCAGGGCTGGAGGGGACGAGCGAGGCAGGGTGGCTGCAATGTCTCATCTGTGCTCTCTGTCTCAGGCTTCCAGTGGTCGGGCTGCTCCGATAACATCGCCTACGGCGTGGCCTTCTCGCAGTCCTTCGTCGATGTCCGGGAGCGGAGCAAAGGGGCTTCTTCCAACAGAGCGCTGATGAACCTCCACAACAACGAGGCAGGGAGGAAGGTAATGGTGACGGGGAAACTGAGGCAGCTGGTGCAGCTCTGCAGCATCCCAGCTGGGCTCTGCAGCAATTGTTTGAGCCTTTTTGGCTTCATTTAATCCCATCAGCTGGCGTATATCAGCACTGCTTTCTGTACAACCCTTCTAAACCCCCCATTGCCCTCTCCTTGCTGTGTCCATCCCAAGCTGATGGTCCCATCCCATTTCTCGTGTCTGTGCACCCAGGCAATCCTGAACAACATGCGGGTGGAGTGCAAGTGCCATGGTGTGTCGGGCTCCTGCGAGTTCAAGACGTGCTGGAAAGCCATGCCCCCCTTCCGCAAAGTGGGCAACGTCTTGAAGGAGAAATTCGATGGTGCCACGGAGGTCGAGCAGAGCGAGATCGGATCCACCAAAGTGCTGGTGCCCAAAAACTCCCAGTTCAAGCCACACACAGACGAGGACCTCGTCTACCTGGACTCCAGTCCCGACTTCTGTGACCACGACCTCAAGAACGGGGTGCTGGGCACCAGCGGCCGGCAGTGCAACAAGACCTCCAAGGCCATCGACGGCTGCGAGCTGATGTGCTGCGGCCGGGGCTTTCACACGGACGAGGTGGAGGTGGTGGAAAGGTGCAGCTGCAAATTCCACTGGTGCTGCTCTGTCAAGTGCAAACCCTGCCATCGGGTGGTGGAAATCCATACGTGCCGGTGATGAGCAGCGGGGAGTGCCCATCCGTCCCCATCCCTGATGGACCCTGTTTCTCCCCTGCCCTACAGCCAGGACTGAGGAAGTGACCCAGACACTGCAGGGAGAGCGCAGCTCTTGACAGAGACAGAGCCCCAGAGGAAAACAGATTTTAAAGAAAAAAAAATATTTAAAGTTTCAAAAAATTGATCATTGTTGGCTTTTTTTTGTTGTTTTGCTTTGTCTTCTTGTTTTATTTATTGCTGAAGCCAGAGCCCCTCGGTGTCCTGCGCCAGCAGGGACACGTCTGCTCTCGGCGGCTGGGGACCTGTGTGATGCCTGCTCCCATCGGATGAGCCCCCGCCGACTCCGGAGCCCTGCCATCAGGAGGTGTTTAAGCGGAGGATAGCATTAGGCACTCGGTATCTTCTGTCGCTGTTATTTGTTCAAGGCATGCGCTGCGCATCCCAGGGCACTGCTTGCCCTGGCTGAGCCCTGGGTGGGGAGGAGGCGTGTGCAGACGAGTGCTGATGGTGACAATGGGGTGGCAATGTCCCCAGGAGTTCAGCTCAATGCGGGCAGCCCAGCTAGGATGATTTATACGAGGGGGACACAGGACACTCCTGCATCCCCTTGCTGTGGGATGCTGGATGGCCTCTGGGGTGCTGGATGTGTTTTAGAGCAGCTCCAATATCCGCTCTCATTTACAGAAGCTTCTCAGTGGCTGGCCAGAGATGTGATGTTCCCACCAGGCTCCCCTTGCCCTTGCAAGCCCCCTGCCCCCTCACTTCTCCAGCACCTCGCTGAGCTGGAGACTGTGAGGAGGGACCAAAGAGGCCACAATACCTGCAATCCAGTGACCTGATGGAGCTGGGAGCTGATGGGAGGAAATCCCAGGGATTTCTTTTCCTCTGTCCCATAACTGACCCTGCCTTCCTCACCAGCATCCAGGTCTCCTCTTCCTCCACAGGCCTGTTCTCCACATCTGGTGAGTGCTCTGGGGACAGTCCCCATCTCATTGGCTACTGAGAAATTCAAAGTTATAAAGCAGAGCAGTTGCTGGGGGTGAGGTAAAGATGCTGCTGGGGGAAGGCGATGCTCGTCATCTGCTGAGCCCCACAGATGCTGCCATGTGTGCCCTGACCACCGGGATTCAGCACAGCAGGGCCCCACCACCCCATCTGACTCCCCGCGGGCCTGGAGCAATGCCATGGGGGTAACGCGCTGTCCCACCCGCCCCGGCTTCCCCTCTGCCTGGGAGTGGGTTAGCGCAGAGCCCTTGCTGCCGGGCTGCAGGACGAAATATTTGGAGAACTAATAAGCAGAGGGGCACTGCGAGGGGAGGTGGAAAGCGAACTGGTTCCTCTCTCCCTCACCCACTTGTCTGTGAGTCGAGAGGGGAAAAGGGGGAGCAGAGAAAAAACCTCGAAATGGCACCTAGAGCCAACAGGAGCATCTGCCCACAGTGCACCCCAGCAAAGCCCAGAGCTGCGGCCGTCACCTTGGAGGACAGGGTCCTTGCAAACCTGGAGTCTTGTTTTCCTTCCTTGCTTCATCCCAAGAGGGGAAAGGTTGGGGGAAATGCGCAGGCGCCCGTGAGATCTCGTCTGCGCCGTGGCAGTGATGGGCTGGGGGAGAGCCTGTGGTCGCTGGAAGGTCTCCAGACACCGACCGGCTGGAAGGCTGCTGACAACTGACTCGAAGCAGCACAGGGTGAGGGCGGTTTGCACTGAGGCACCCACCCCAATACCCCACTGGCTGCCCCCCTCCTGCCCCCACTCCAAAAACCATTCAGCAAAGGGTGCCTGAAGGGGGGGGCTGACACCCTGGGGACACCCTGAGGTGGAGACACCATGGGTTGATCCACTTCAATGCAAACCAGAGGCCTCCTCCCCAGAGCAGCATGGAGCTGGGATTGCCTCTCTCAATGTCTCAATTGGCAAAGGGTGCAGTATTAAATCCCATGGGAGGGTCTAAGCTTCGCCCCCCAGCTCTATCTCTTCAGCTCCCCCAAGGCTGCAAGTTCTCAGGTACCTTGGGGACTGCTCCTCCTCTTCCCAGCTCATGTAGGGGAGGCCACAGACCCCAGGCCACTGGCCAAGTTTTCTGCTCGTTGTCCATCTAGGATGAGGGCCAAAGCTGCACAAGACAATCCAGATCAGTGTGGAGATAATCTCTGCGCACGGGATTTTCTCAAGCTGTGATGAAAGCTGAGCCCTGTAAATGTCACCCGGAGATATCCTGGCTCCACAGTGCTCTGGCTCTTCTCACAGCTGTAAATTTCAGCACCAGAGGGGGGGGGGAATGCCTTTTCTTCATATTTACGTTGTCTCTACAACCACCTGAAAGGAGATTGTAGCAAGGTGGGTGTTGGTCTCTTCTCCCAAGTAACAAATGATGGGACAAGAGGAAATGGCCTCAAGTTGCACCAGGGGAGGGTTAAATTGGATATAAGGAACAATTTCTTCACTAAAAAAGTTGTCAAGCACGGGAAGGGGCTGCCCAGGGTCGTGGTGGAGTCACCATCCCTGGAGGTGTTTAAAAGATGGGGTGATGAGGTGCTTAGAGACATGGTTTAGTGGTGGACAGGTTATGGTTGGACTCAATGATCTTGAAGGTCTTCTCCAACCTAAACAATTCTGTGATTCTATCAAATAATGAGTTTGTGCTGAAAGAGCCATGGGGTTTTCCTCTCGTAGCAGTCAGGCTCCACTGGGCTGTGTAAAACCAGCATGGGCTGCAGACACCAATCACTGTTGGTCAGTGTTTGGCTCACAGGCTGCATCCCTGCTTTCCCACCAGTGGAAGGGATCTTGCTCCCTAATCTTCTGCCTTAGCCACTCCACACACTGCTGGCTTGAGAGGCCACTTATCTTAGATATCAGCAAGTCTGCGACTTCCTCCTGTCAGAGGGTGCTAAAACGGTGCTGTGCTGTCCTGCCCTGCCTGCAGCCGAGGGGCCACAGCTGCTGCCTCTGCTGCTGGGAGCACCTTGCACTAGTCCTGAGGTGTGTTTGGGCTGGGAGGGGGCAAGAGCTGCCCACAGGTGCTATCAGGGACCCCCCATCTCCATCTCTGTGCTGCGGGGTGCTGGATTTGGAGGGGATGCAGTGACAGATGCCCAGCATGCTGCAAGCTGCCTCCATCCAGTGCATTTCTCTTGTCCCTTGTCCTTCCACAAGCCACAGGTGCTCAGCTCCAACCTTTTCGCTCCATTCCCAGCACAGAGCTGCTCGCTTCAGCCGGGTCCAGCTGCACCAATACTCTGCCTCGTCTCTTGTAGTTGTAGCTCTCCATTTTTGTGCTCTCCGAGTTCACCTTTCCACAGGGTTCATGGTAAAACCAATGGCTTCTCTCACTTTGGCCTCCACGGGTGGCAGAGGTTGAGGGCTGTGTTTTTAAGTTGTTGCAGAAATAGGATGATAGGATGGAAGAAAATGAGCCTCAAGCCTCCCAAAAACCCTTCCTTCAAATAGCTCCTCTATTCCCATGGTGGATCCCACCCCACATCCTCCCAGCTCCATCCCTTCCCCTCCCCACTCCATCCCCAAGTGAGGGGGCCTCATTCTCCCACACAACCTTGCACCCCGTGCTGAAACAAGGTACAAGGAGATGCCAGCTTCTCTGCGACCATGGACCAAGCAAGACTTTCATGTCCTCCTCCCCCAGTGCCCCCAATCCACTCAGCCTGTCCCCTACACCCAAAAATGTCCTGCTAACCCTCTTCCCACCATCACATCCCTCCACACGCTGGTCCCTGTGCCAGCCCCACAGGCTTGGCACTCAGTCCTCCTCCTCTTCCTCCTCCTTGGCCCCCTCAACACCCTCTCCCTGGTGAGGTCATCTCCCCCCCAGGACCTGCAGGCCAACGTCTCCATCTAGCCTCTCCCGCTCATAATCCTTCCTGGATGTCCCACTGCCAGCTGGAGATCATCGTGGCAAAAACAGGACATCCCCTCCAAGCCCACCCCACCCTGCTCCAGCAGATGGGTAACTCCAAGCTTTTTTCCCATTTCCCAAACTCCCAACTTCACAACCATCTTATTTTTTCTCTACCTTTTCTCCTGGAATATCCACCCCATGCGTCAGGTACCTTCAACCTCACCTATGCCATGCTCTGGGCTTCCCGTTTCCCACCTCTCCACCCTCCAGCCTGAGCACAACACGATGGGCAGATCTGTTTCTCTCCAGCTGTTTCAGCCACATCACCCTGGTGCCCATTATAGGCCATCACTCCCACTTTCATCACTCCCAACGATCTCATCCTCCCTCCCTGGGCAAGCTCAGCCTCACCCGCCACCAAGCTATTAAATCTCTATGGATTACATTAATGATGCTTAAGCAGAGTGAGAACTGGTGCTCGCATCCTTTCCCTCACTTACACCATCAGTGAACGCAATAGCAAATCCCACTGCATGTTCCTGCAGTGGTGACCACCATAATTTTCCTGTATCGCCCGCTCTCCCTTTATCCATGTGGATTTACCAGCTGGCTGTAGGGAAACCAGGCGATGGGTACAGCAGGAAACAAGAGCCTGGGACCACTGAGAAGAGATGCTTAAAGGATGGGATGGTGTCCCTCTGCATGGGCAGAAGAGGATGAGTCCTCCTTACATCATGGGAGCTGGAAATGATGGGTCTCACCTCAGCCTGGCATAGGAGCACCCACACCCGGGTGCTGCCTCCACCATCACCGAAGCCGCAGGAGGCCACGCTGAAGGACACCCAGCAGAGCAGAGTCTTTGACAGCAGCGTGATCCCGTGACAGCGGGAGGGCGCCCAGCCAGCGCTCCTCAGAGAGGCCTCCCGACCCTGGCTGCCAAAATCCTGCTTTAAGTACAGGAAAATAAATTGTGCAACCTGCCTTAGACCGGAGTGTAACACCCAGTGCAGGCGGAGGGGGAAGACGGGGCAGGAGCCGGGCTGAGGATCAGGCCCCGCACCCCAGCATTTAGGTTGGACCATGCCAACATCTGGCACATGAGCAGCTCTGCCCAGGGTGTTTCTGCAGCCACAGAGCCCTCCTCAGGGGTCCCAGCCACACACAAGCACCATCCTTGTGCCCGTGCTCAGGCGAGTCCCCCTCGGCTGGCCTCCTGACCTGGCAGGACATTCCTCCCCCATCCCAAACCTGACCACTAACATTTCCTCGAGCACTGGAGCAAGGCGTGTTGGCTGGGTGAGACTCCATACTACCGCA